TCCGTCAGGCAGGGAATAATGTAGAGCCGGGTCCGTCCGGCCTATTTCACCCATATTTTGGGAAGTAGAAACACTGTCCGTGTAAGCAGCAAGGCGGGCAACTCGGCTCTTGTTTCTCCGGAGCCCCCCAGACACTTCTTCAGCTTTGCGACGCCGTCTCTCCCTCACATCTCGTGAGACCCCATTCAAGAACAGTGGGCGTGGGAATGTTTCTTGGTGGGGTTAATCTGAAGCCACTGCAAAGATCAGGGCTAAAATCAAGGCAGTGGGCAACACAATCCTCCCCTTCGACCTTTCTGTGAAGGCTACAGTTACTCACCAGCTTAATCTGCAGACACTTTTGCGTTTGTAGAGAGGCAGGCATATCCTGGGGAACCTTCCCACCAGTGTAACTCTAGGGCGCCCCGAAGCAACCCTTCACTCCGCCTCGTCCAACATCGCTAGCTCCGCCATCCTTACTACTGGCAAATAGCCCGCTTTCCCTCCGGGGATTATGTGTATGATTTCAAGTACAGTGAAACAAACCTCGTTTGGATTGGCTGTGTTTCCCTTATATTTTAAGCGCTTTAGCTGTGGTAGGTTAGAGTAAGAAAAGGAGTGACGCTATTCTTCCGCCCTTTTTATCGGTGCATTTATGAACGGTGTATGCTCTAAATTTAAGCTCTAGCGGCTGGTTTAGGGATTGAAACAGGAGCTGGTTGTTGATCGTAGACAGCAGGGAGTCCTTAGGGATAGATCTTACATGATCTCTTACGAGCCTGGCTCGCAGGCTGTTTCATATTGAGATGGTTGCAAAGATTTTGCCTATTAGACACCGTATTTTTAGCGTGCCTTCCGGTAGATACTATCATTGTTTGTATTCGGTTTTAGCATCTATATTTTTCTATAACTAAAATCCTATATTCATACAGGAACTTCTATGCAGCTGGAAATACTGCGTTACTAGCTCTTCATTGTTGATACTATGAAGTCACTGTTTTGAAGGCTGACAATTAAAGGTCTAGAATCAAAGAGCTGTATTTTCAATACGGCTTGCAACGTTGTGAATTTTCCTTTTCACAATGTTTGGCCATTTATTTAATCTTCATATTCTTATTATAAATTATATTGAAAAGCACTTTTTTTGCAAAGGAAAAAATAAACAGTATTAAAGTACAGTGATAAATGACAGTAAATTAAAATAATATGAAACCAAACAAAACCATCCATTTATAATATTCACAAGGGCAAGCCTTGGATGAACACAGCAAGCTTCAGTAGGTTCCTAAAGGACAAAATAGCAGTTGACTCTTAGATGTCAGGTGAGAGAAAATGGAGAGAACAGGCAGGACCACAGAAGAGGCCTAGCTGTGACTAATTGCAAGATGACCTCTCAGGTGTGCTTCACTAGGAGGTCCCCCTCTGTTATCTTAGCAATTGTTCAGATCTGCAACCAGGAAAGCAACCTGTGAGGATCCCTGTTCCCCTGTTGTCTTGCTAAACCATAATTGATTTGCATAATGTGAATATTTGACAAACCTTGGATAAACCATGGTTTAGTGTGATGTGTGAACCTCACTTATATATAAGAGTGAATTCCCACATCACATTGAGATATAATGAGATTTGTTTGGGTTGGATTTAGTAGCCATTATGATTAATAAACCTCAGTTAATGGCTTAGCCCCTTCATGGATCACTGCCTTGTCGTGGCGAAGGGGCTTGCGTAACTCAGTGAAGCC